GGCTTTCATTAATCAAGTCGTATATCGACATAAAATCGTAAACTTACCTCAACTCATGAATCCATAATATCAATCCTTCATTCAAAGTAAACTCATCATTTAAGCATCAAGCATGTCAATCATTCATCCATAATCAAATCACCAATTTGGCATTAACCATATCAATCATTCATCCATAATCAAATCACCAATATGCATTAACCATATCAATCTTTCAATCAATCATCAATCGAATATAACTTCACGATTTCCTTTGTGGAAATCATCTCCATCATATATATCATATGCAATGCATGAAATGCAGACTCTCCATTTATTATTAATTTGCGCGCTAAGGTCACCATACGCCCACCCCGCTCGAGCTCATCTTCTCAGTGGTTATATCAAAAACCACAATCTCATCCAATCTAGGATTATCATAAATCCTTTCATCAGGACCGCAGCCCAATCAATCTCATAGGGGTAGGCATAGGCCCTTCTATGTCTATGTGATTTAACATGATCAAACAATATCAATTTCTCTCTTCCATCATATCTCAATCGATCCAAGAAATCAATAGCGTCCCATTGATATTCCCAGTCCATGCATATCTCACATCAACTATGCATACTTTGATGCATTGCATGATCTCAATATAATCATCATCTCCTCAATGATATAAGTAATTCATTCTCTTCAATCAAACTTGACAAATCTACCAAGTACTCACTATATCAATATCTCATTCACTCATCGTAATCATTTAACACATCAAATACAAATCGATCATGATAATATCTCATCCACATCATCATTAATCAAAGCATTCATCATATCAACATTTTCACAAAATATCTCGATAATATTTATATTTACCAATCACATTTATATCAATCGATATTCAAATCACGTCATACTCATACACGTCAATCGTATCACTATCACTCAATATTCCTATCATCATCATCATCATCATCATCATCATCATCATCATATATATATATCATGAACAATATATATTTCATTCATCATAAATCATTTTATCATACGAACCATATAATCTAAAATACATCGGTTTATCCATATCTTCCATTAATTAATTATATCAAAATAGCAACTCATCCTCATGAATTTCTATTAATAACTTGGAACCATTCTAAGGACCATACCCATATATATAATTCTCATGATTATCAAAAGTCCATTTGAAAAGGTCTCCCCTAATAACGCATATCTCAATAATTATTTATTAAAGTACAAACTAACTCATAGTTCGTCATGATTCATTAATAAGACTATTTTCAATATTTCAATTAAATACTCAATTAACCATTTCTCAAAATTAATCATAAAACGTAAATCAAATTAAATCCAAGATAAAATTACTCATGGTAATCACTTTGAACTCACACTCTAATTTAAATAATTTTCTCTTAATCACCACTATTCTGAAAATCATAATACGTTCCCTTTAATAACGAAACCACGTAGAAACCGGTTTCATCCATCCAAAAATCCAACAAAGATCACAAATCCTTTGATGTAATTATTCTGACCAAAATTCCTTCTCATATACTAATCCAATTTATAAATTCCCAATTTTACCCTTTTAACGTCATAACTTCAATTAATTCTGCAAAGTCAATTATTACCAATATAATCATTGTCATGATAATATATCATGACTAATGTCGTCTCAAGATTCCTCAAATTCCCTTTCCTTATTCTGATCTCAGTAGACCTTTTCGGAAAATATTCGGAGTTCACCAAATACATCAACAATTCGAATACGAGATTAATAATAATTATTATCATAACAATCAGTCAACTTCATCAATAATTTCATCCAAGATCACAATCATGAACCAATCACAAATCCATCATAATCATTAATCATCAACTCAATCATGCGTATTTAGAAATAAACACGTAATTCCGGTTCCCTTTTACCGTAAGCCCACACACCTTATTTATGACGAAATCCGATTCTGTGAAAGCTCAGGACATTCCATATCTTGGTTTCAAAATATTCTCCTCGTTCTCACGATCCTGTAGGTGAAAACGGTTCGTCGTTTGGACGTCAAACGAACGAATTATGAACGGAATACGAATTCCGTTAGTACTCAAAGTACTAGGGACTAAATACGATATTTACTAGTCAACTAAAAAGAGGTTGACCCGTCTCTGTGGGAAAATTACAGAGTGGTCCTTTAACTTTTCGATTTACCAGACATGGTACCTGGATGGTTGGCATATTCTTCCTCAAACTTGGGAGACTCGGTTCTCCCTCATCCGACGTCCGAATTCGATTTCGTCGACACCGTGACGCTCCTGAGATCGCCCTCTTCGCAACCATATTCATCTTTTGAAGTTTCGTTGAAGTTTATTTTTCCAGAATCCGGCGACACTCCGGCGACGTTCCGGCGAAGCTCCGACGAGACTTCTAACGACCTCCAAACTGAATTCTAACTCCGTGGATCGATTTATGACTTCCTCCCGAGCACAACCTAGTATTCAGAATCCTTAATTTCACTCTCTTCCTATTCACTCTCTTTTTCTCTTCACCACTGACGTGAAACAAAAACTGGGGAGGAGCAAGGATGGAATTTGGTTTTGGTGTCTCTCCGGGGGAAAAGAAGCAGTGGATGCTGCCTACTTATGCAGCTGTTTCCATGTGCTAGCTTGGCTTTTGGATTGAATCATAAGGTGGAAGATGATAGTAATGGCAGTAGTTGAGTGTGAGGTGGAATCATGATGGTGATGGAGCTTAAAGGAGTAATGGTGGGAAGGTGAGTGGGATTGGTTTAGTGATTTCTTCAGACAAAACTTCCCCACCCACGTTACTTTAATTTGATGGGTAGTTGGAGGCAACTCTTATCTCCAGCTTTGTCATTAATCAAATTTGTCTTGCTAAAGAAAATATGACATTAATTTCTAACGATCAGTACCTCTGTCAGGTCGACGTGGTCAGTTATACTGACATGTAATATCAACCTTTGAAAGTGTTCTCCTTTTCGTTACGATCCCGTGGGCGCAAACGGCTCGTCGTTTCGATTACAAACGAAGAAGTTGTGGCTAAATTAGTGTCGACACGTACGTTATTTCAATAACGAAGTCTAGACTTCAAAAGGACATATCTCACTCGTTTAAAATCCAAAATTAGTTCCGTAAAATTCTACGTGATCGTGGAAGAATTTTCTAACTTGTGAAATCAAGATTTGTTCAAAATCTCTGATCCATCATTCCAGAATATTCTTTATTTCCTAAACCATTCGGTGTGGTCGCAATTTCTTCTAGTATGGTTGAAATTCATGATTCCTCATCAAACCGAATTGATTTATAAATTGTCCGAGGTTTGGGATGTTACAACTCTCCCCCTCTTAATTGGATTTCGTCCCCGAAATCAAAGTGTTGGTCAATCTGGCCGTACACATCCTGTGCACTAAACTCCTTAGTGGACAATACTTAATTAAGCCACCAAGGATGGTCAACCCTCTCTTTTTCTCACGTCTCTTCTCACTTGGTTGTGATGATTTGAGAAGTGGAACCATTGAATAACGTCAACCTATTGCCATAAGCATTAGGTTAATCATGTATTTTGAGGGGTACACTTTTATTAGTTCAGCACGCTCTCCCACTTATGCTTTGATGGTCCCTCTTGATGTGTTCCTACTTTTCTAGCCTTTATCCACAACCTTAGGCATTATGATCCTTTAGCTTCGAAAACAAAACTGGGCATTGCCTTTTCTTATGTCATCCATGATTTCATCCTCAGCAATTCGTCAATTCAGTGGTGTCACTAAATGATTTGTCATCTTGCTTGTCTCCTTTCCCAATCGCTTACATGATCGTTCGCAATAGAACCTTGTCTCCTCCAGATGAGACATCAAGTCTCAGTCCTTCGGCATCTCCTTATTGTGTTCAAGAAAACTCTCATTCTTTGAGATGAATTTTTCCTTCACATCCTCCCATCCCCTCCGTCTATTCATCAAGAATTCGACCCATGGTTTAGGGATATATCTAGAGCTTCGTCGTTTTTGCACATGGTGCTAATTCCGTAGTGTCAGTTACCATCCGATAACATATAACACCAATTTGTCACTTTAGAGTTTAATCTATATCGCCTCTAAATATTGGCTACGTGCTTGCTATCGCACTTCTCTTTTGTGCTTTAGCATACTCATACCGATCATAAGTTGATCATGTCATGAGTTAGCTCCGGGCTCATTGCATTTATTCTAGCTCCCAACTTGTCCATTATTCGCCCATCACATCTACTCTATATTGGTGCCTCTGACTTTAAAGACATTGACCTGAACTTTTGGTCATCTATCTCCTTTCACATCATTATTTTGATGATGTATCTCGTTGTCAATCAACTGTCATCATTTTCACTGCATGCTAGTTAACGTCTCCTCATCTTGACCCATTCTCGTACTTAATAGTCTATTGAACGATCTTGTTCCATCAATCCTCGAGAAATTTTTTTTTTTTTCTCAATCTACGTTATCACTCGTCACGTATTTAGTCTAATTTAACAAAAGGTTATCATTAGATTGGGTCTCTCTGACCTCAACTAATATCATGGAACTTGGGATTCTAAACCCCAATATGAAGTCCGCAATCCTTAAAGGTTTGCAGAATTCCTACTAACTATTTCAACTCTTGTTTCCCTTGAATCAGGAAACTCCATCCCTTAAATTGGGATGTGGCACCCTTTTGCACAGATCGATGGTTCCTTGGAGGAGGAAATCACTTTTCAATTTTCGTCTCACATGACTCGTTAAAAGACTTTCTTCAAAAGACTTCTCAAATAGATTTCATTTCAAATGTTGCTCTAAAAATGCTTGAAATCATTTTGATTGAATGCAACTGACTCTGACTATGCATCACAACATCATGTTTGGTCTCAACTCCCGGAAAGTTTAGTGCAAATACGGGTATGGAGTACTCCCCCTCTTTTGAGAGTGATCAGTTCTCAAGAGTGAAAGTAACATACCTATAATGCAGAAAACAAACTGGGCTCTGATACCACTTGTAACACCCCACCCTAAAATCATGGGTCGAACCAATGGTTCAACCGCGCAGCGGAAAACACTCGGGGTTTACGTTTTCAAAATCTTGACTCAACTGACATCCACATCATTCTCATATGTTTAAAATTCAACTCATCATAACAATTACTAAAAATCATATTCTCAATTCATTAATCCATCTTCGTCAAATTCAGGATTCACCAAACCCATACTATCAGTCTTATGTACTCCATTCATACTCAACTCAAGTTAATGATCATGCTTGACCATTGTAAACTATCATGCATGCTCAAAACCCGAATCGTGAAATAAGGATTCTAGAATACACCAATAAGTGAAAAACCTTTTAAATCAAAACTCCTCCATCGATCATTGTGCAGTGCCAGAGTCATCCTCAATTTATCACACCTGTCACATCTAGAAAGAAAAATGGGTCAGCTACTAAGCTGAGTGTGTGGACCTGGCCTATACGGCAAAACTATTGTTAGCATGCCATCACACCATCACATCTTGTTGATTAAGAACACATCATCAACAAATTATCATGCCACACGAAAATCTCATTAATCTCTAGATTTATTTCTAGGTCATCAATCCAAATTCGTCTTTAACCCAATTCCTCATGGTATGGCTTTCATTAATCAAGTCGTATATCGACATAAAATCGTAAACTTACCTCAACTCATGAATCCATAATATCAATCCTTCATTCAAAGTAAACTCATCATTTAAGCATCAAGCATGTCAATCATTCATCCATAATCAAATCACCAATTTGGCATTAACCATATCAATCATTCATCCATAATCAAATCACCAATATGGCATTAACCATATCAATCTTTCAATCAATCATCAATCGAATATAACTTCACGATTTCCTTTGTGGAAATCATCTCCATCATATATATCATATGCAATGCATGAAATGCAGACTCTCCATTTATTATTAATTTGCGCGCTAAGGTCACCATACGCCCACCCCGCTCGAGCTCATCTTCTCAGTGGTTATATCAAAAACCACAATCTCATCCAATCTAGGATTATCATAAATCCTTTCATCAGGACCGCAGCCCAATCAATCTCATAGGGGTAGGCATAGGCCCTTCTATGTCTATGTGATTTAACATGATCAAACAATATCAATTTCTCTCTTCCATCATATCTCAATCGATCCAAGAAATCAATAGCGTCCCATTGATATTCCCAGTCCATGCATATCTCACATCAACTATGCATACTTTGATGCATTGCATGATCTCAATATAATCATCATCTCCTCAATGATATAAGTAATTCATTCTCTTCAATCAAACTTGACAAATCTACCAAGTACTCACTATATCAATATCTCATTCACTCATCGTAATCATTTAACACATCAAATACAAATCGATCATGATAATATCTCATCCACATCATCATTAATCAAAGCATTCATCATATCAACATTTTCACAAAATATCTCGATAATATTTATATTTACCAATCACATTTATATCAATCGATATTCAAATCACGTCATACTCATACACGTCAATCGTATCACTATCACTCAATATTCCTATCATCATCATCATCATCATCATCATCATCATCATCATCATCATATATATATATCATGAACAATATATATTTCATTCATCATAAATCATTTTATCATACGAACCATATAATCTAAAATACATCGGTTTATCCATATCTTCCATTAATTAATTATATCAAAATAGCAACTCATCCTCATGAATTTCTATTAATAACTTGGAACCATTCTAAGGACCATACCCATATATATAATTCTCATGATTATCAAAAGTCCATTTGAAAAGGTCTCCCCTAATAACGCATATCTCAATAATTATTTATTAAAGTACAAACTAACTCATAGTTCGTCATGATTCATTAATAAGACTATTTTCAATATTTCAATTAAATACTCAATTAACCATTTCTCAAAATTAATCATAAAACGTAAATCAAATTAAATCCAAGATAAAATTACTCATGGTAATCACTTTGAACTCACACTCTAATTTAAATAATTTTCTCTTAATCACCACTATTCTGAAAATCATAATACGTTCCCTTTAATAACGAAACCACGTAGAAACCGGTTTCATCCATCCAAAAATCCAACAAAGATCACAAATCCTTTGATGTAATTATTCTGACCAAAATTCCTTCTCATATACTAATCCAATTTATAAATTCCCAATTTTACCCTTTTAACGTCATAACTTCAATTAATTCTGCAAAGTCAATTATTACCAATATAATCATTGTCATGATAATATATCATGACTAATGTCGTCTCAAGATTCCTCAAATTCCCTTTCCTTATTCTGATCTCAGTAGACCTTTTCGGAAAATATTCGGAGTTCACCAAATACATCAACAATTCGAATACGAGATTAATAATAATTATTATCATAACAATCAGTCAACTTCATCAATAATTTCATCCAAGATCACAATCATGAACCAATCACAAATCCATCATAATCATTAATCATCAACTCAATCATGCGTATTTAGAAATAAACACGTAATTCCGGTTCCCTTTTACCGTAAGCCCACACACCTTATTTATGACGAAATCCGATTCTGTGAAAGCTCAGGACATTCCATATCTTGGTTTCAAAATATTCTCCTCGTTCTCACGATCCTGTAGGTGAAAACGGTTCGTCGTTTGGACGTCAAACGAACGAATTATGAACGGAATACGAATTCCGTTAGTACTCAAAGTACTAGGGACTAAATACGATATTTACTAGTCAACTAAAAAGAGGTTGACCCGTCTCTGTGGGAAAATTACAGAGTGGTCCTTTAACTTTTCGATTTACCAGACATGGTACCTGGATGGTTGGCATATTCTTCCTCAAACTTGGGAGACTCGGTTCTCCCTCATCCGACGTCCGAATTCGATTTCGTCGACACCGTGACGCTCCTGAGATCGCCCTCTTCGCAACCATATTCATCTTTTGAAGTTTCGTTGAAGTTTATTTTTCCAGAATCCGGCGACACTCCGGCGACGTTCCGGCGAAGCTCCGACGAGACTTCTAACGACCTCCAAACTGAATTCTAACTCCGTGGATCGATTTATGACTTCCTCCCGAGCACAACCTAGTATTCAGAATCCTTAATTTCACTCTCTTCCTATTCACTCTCTTTTTCTCTTCACCACTGACGTGAAACAAAAACTGGGGAGGAGCAAGGATGGAATTTGGTTTTGGTGTCTCTCCGGGGGAAAAGAAGCAGTGGATGCTGCCTACTTATGCAGCTGTTTCCATGTGCTAGCTTGGCTTTTGGATTGAATCATAAGGTGGAAGATGATAGTAATGGCAGTAGTTGAGTGTGAGGTGGAATCATGATGGTGATGGAGCTTAAAGGAGTAATGGTGGGAAGGTGAGTGGGATTGGTTTAGTGATTTCTTCAGACAAAACTTCCCCACCCACGTTACTTTAATTTGATGGGTAGTTGGAGGCAACTCTTATCTCCAGCTTTGTCATTAATCAAATTTGTCTTGCTAAAGAAAATATGACATTAATTTCTAACGATCAGTACCTCTGTCAGGTCGACGTGGTCAGTTATACTGACATGTAATATCAACCTTTGAAAGTGTTCTCCTTTTCGTTACGATCCCGTGGGCGCAAACGGCTCGTCGTTTCGATTACAAACGAAGAAGTTGTGGCTAAATTAGTGTCGACACGTACGTTATTTCAATAACGAAGTCTAGACTTCAAAAGGACATATCTCACTCGTTTAAAATCCAAAATTAGTTCCGTAAAATTCTACGTGATCGTGGAAGAATTTTCTAACTTGTGAAATCAAGATTTGTTCAAAATCTCTGATCCATCATTCCAGAATATTCTTTATTTCCTAAACCATTCGGTGTGGTCGCAATTTCTTCTAGTATGGTTGAAATTCATGATTCCTCATCAAACCGAATTGATTTATAAATTGTCCGAGGTTTGGGATGTTACAGTTCCAGCTATTGAGGTGGGTTTTTATCATGGATTGAAGTCCATAATGTGTAATTACACCCTTGTCCCTGCCATATTTTGTTATTGGCAGCAGTGCCCTTCTGTTTATCCTTTCCGAAATTTTGGCAGATAAAAGAGTGAACTGTTTGCGAGATGCGAGGGAAAATTGCGAGGGAAGGAAGTCGACTCTAACAGAGAAACTTCTCCTCCGTCGCTATCTCCGATCTTCTTCTCTGTCGTAATCTCCGATCTTCTCCTCCGTCACTGCAACCAGGTATGCTTTCTGTCTTGCTTCTCATCTGTGTCTTTCTTCCCGACGAACCCTAGATCAAAGCTTGGCCGATCTTTTGTGATGTTGTGGGTGTATTGAAGTTTTAATATTCCATCTCTCTATCTCTCTCCTCCTTGAACTCCACAGCCAGTAGTGTAGAGTGTCGACCCCCAAAACCTTACCATAGATCGACCATTCCTCCTTCCTGCAGCTGCTGTCCGCCATTTCCATTTCCCCCACCGCCCTCCACAGCACTTCACGTAATTGTGCCAGAGTGAGAGCTGAATTCCGCTTACCGCCATGGAAACCCACTTCCGCCCTCCCTCTTTGGTTACTTGGTAGCTCTCTGTTCCTCTTGATCTGAACTCCAAATGGAGCAAGTCCCCTTCTTTTTCTTTTCTCTTTGAGCCTATATAGTACCTACTGTTTGTTTATATGCCCCAGAGAAAGATAGGCGAGGAAAAAAGGAGAAGAATTGGTAATGCTCTGCCTTGGTTAATGGTTAGTTAGTTTGGAGTGTTTCACATTCTCAATTTGGGGCTCATTCCTCATGCTTCTCTTTCTATGCAAGTAGCTCTATCTGAAGAACCCTCCTTTGTTACTTCTTTAGTTTGAGTTGACCATTGCCGGAGCATTTATTTTTACCGGTTATCTTCATTCTGCAGAGTCAAGCTTTTCTCTAAGCTACTTCGATAATAAGAATATAAGGCCTCCATCTGTATTGTTTGAAGCTGAACCATACAAAGAAAGCTCCTTTCTGTCTGAGTTTGTAAAGTTCAGTAACTTATTGATAGATGCTTCTTGTATGTGAAATTACTTTCTTGTTTGAACTGAAATTCGAAAGCTAACTGTGTTATGGTTTGTGACATAAATGTTGTGGCTCCATTGAGAGTTCTTGATGGATTGCTATGGAAAGTTTCCTGATTGTATGTTGTAATGCTTCTTTTGATGTTAAGGCTATGGCTCGATTGAGAAGAAAATCTAATCAAGTGCAGAAGCGGAACACCGTGAAGGCTATTAGGATTGTTTTAACCTTGTTACTTGTCTATGTGTCTTTGCTAATTAGATATCTTGAGCTATTAGTGATGAAAAAGTTAAAATCCAGACCTCGGAATACCCCCTTAGATAGCATATTTGACCGTCAACATGATAGAATGAGATATATGAGACGAGTACTTGATCTATCCGATACTCGTTGCATTGATAGTATTAGGATGAGTCGTAGTATGTTCAAGAGGTTGTGTCATCTACTCGTCCGTGAAGGGGGGTTAGAACGTTCAGATGATGTCGATATAGAGGAGATGGTCATGATGTTTTTAGTTACCATCGGGCACAACAAGAAGAACAGAATGCTACAAGTTGACTTTTGTCGTTCAGGACAAACTATCTCCAAAGTTATTCATAGAGTCCTACGTGCTGTACTTCGGCTGCATCCTATTTTACTCCGCCGACCATCAGCTATACCAGAAAATTGTACTGATCCTAAGTGGAAACACTTCAAGGTCTGTTAATTATTTGAATTTTCTTTAACTTGCAAGGTTAGTTGCAATTACTATCCTAAAACAGCTAGTTTTTCTGTGGTAAAGGGTTGCTTAGGGGCACTAGACGGGACACATGTGAGGTTGCGTGTTAGGACAGAAGATAAACCTAGGTATCGAGATCGGGAAGGGCATATTACAATGAATGTTTTGGGAGTGTGCAGCCCAAACCTCGAGTTTATATACTGCTTAGCTGGATGGGAGGGTTCAGCCCATGACGGAAAGGTTCTTAGAGATGCATTGGCTAGGCCAAATGGACTACGCGTTGAGAAAGGTAATGTAGCCTTTTAGAAGGAACTAGACATTCTGAAAATAAACCTTACTTCCACTGATTAGTTCTTACATGTTTCTCTTTCAATTTAATAGGAAAATACTACTTGGTAGATGCTGGGTATAGCAACTCTGAAGGGTTTTTAGCTCCATATCGGGGTCAAATGTATCATTTGAAAGAGTGGGGAGGAGGTAATAGACCATTAACAGCTGAGGAGTACTTCAATATGAAGCATGCCACAGCAAGAAACGTTGTCGAGAGGATTTTTGGTATTTTGAAAATGAGACGGGCCATTATTAGAGAAACCAGCTGGTTCTCCCCTGAGGTTGTTACACTATTAGTGAATGCATGTTGCTTGCTGCATAATTTCATCAAGCTGGAGCAGGGAGTTGACACTTTTGAGAGAGATTATAGGGACCAAGAACCTGAGCAGCATCCTTCATCTGTTGTGGAAGAAATTGATCTAGTCTCTGGAGTATGTCCATCACAAAGTTGGACTCATTATAGGGATGCGAAAGCAGTAGACATGTGGGAGAATAGAAGTGACAGATGATGTATTTTATGTTATTAGTGGTTGTATGTTATGTTTCATGTACTTGCATTTTCTATTTTGACTTTTGCTGCATGTATCAGTGGTTGTAACAGTATGCAGTAGGATCTAAATTGTAAAGACATATTTGAATGCTAAATATAATTCTACTTGTTTGTGATATAAAGTGGTTGTGGTATGGTGTGCATTTATGTTCTTTTGCTGTTGTCAATATAGAGTGGTTGTGCTTTGCCATTGCTAAAGACTATGGCTTGATCTGTGATATGTAGAAAGCAGTCTTTTTTATGGTGAATGATCACAAACTCTACTATCCATGTCTGCAATTTTTTGGGTTGATCAGAAAGCAGTATCAAAGCTACCTAAAGAACTATCTGCAGAAACCAAATTCAAGTATCAAAGCACCTCATTTCATTACTCCTTAAATATTCCATTACACAACTCTACTTCTCATTAACAACACTCTAACAGGTACACATTAATAGAAACTTACACCAATAAACAAATCCATGGGATCACTCTAACATAGCACAAAATTGCAGCACTAAGGAGCCCTGGATTTTAATTTGAAACACCCATATAATAATTTGAGCTTTGAACTCCCAGCCTCCAACTGGTCCAACCTGAGCTTAATCGACTTAATGGCAACAACTATCTCTTCGTAGGATGATATCACATTCTTGCTTTCAATTCCAACATCAACACTATGCTTGGACACTCTGTCTAATGCAGCACGAAGATCTGCATTCTCCAGCTGCAAATTCGAAACCATTTCACCAAGTCTTTTCCTCTCCTTATATAATGCAGCTCTAATGTCATGCCATTCAAAATAATCACAGGGCTCCTTCTTCCGTGTCCACAAAACATGCTACGAGTCACTAGCTCAAACAAGACAGAACTAATTCACCTAACAAGCAAAGCTTCGAACACAATTACCAAAACTCAAACCTTAGAGCCGAACAATGGACAACCGAAAAATTTTCGATTCGGGTTGGCAACAGTATGTGAAATTCTTCGAGAAGCTCTCAGCCCGCAGTTGCATAATACCTCTTCATCCTCGTAATAGAATTCATCAATCCCTTTCTGCCCTTTTCCCTTGCTGGCCATGATAGTCTCTCTTGGATTAAGAAACACAAACAACAAATGATATAGCTGCTGGTTCTAATCAACCAGAAAGAGTATAGACAGAGATTCATAAAAAAACGAGCAAATAAAGAGCTGAGTTCCAAATCTCAGCTGATTGTTGCAGTAGCTGTTGGAGCCCGTCGACGGAATTTGCCAACAAATGAGAGTTCGCCGGTAGACAGAGGTTGCCGGCGGAAACGAGATTCAAATAGCCGCCGGAAATAGTTCTCGATCTACAAAGGTAGCTCGTGGGGAAAGGGAGAATGAGAAAACATCTTTGTGGGCTGCAATTTGTGTGGCACCCATAAAACAAATAATTGTTAATAAGGGCAATAAGGTCATCTCACTTTATATCCTATAAATCTAATTAAACACAATCCATAATAAAATCCATGAAACAAACAATGGTTTTTCATAAGTCCATAATGAACCCAAAACCCTTATAAGTCCATGGTTTTGGAAAACCTTCGTTTTATCAAAACCTTCATTTTTCAAATCCACGACGCAAACGACCCGTTGATGTTGAGAAGGTATTTTGATCGTTCATGGGCTGGGTTTGAGCTCATTTTCCTTCATAAAAGCTGTTGACTTTTTGGGTTCCAAAGGGATTCATGGGATTGCCTTTGACTTGTCTGGAAACAGGCTCTCTGATAAATCGAGAGAAGTAATGGAAGAAAGAGGGGTGGGTGGTGTTTTCCGGTGGAGGAATGGATGGTGGGAGTCGATTTTGGAGGGTTCTTGGCGGCGTTCGTTTGATGAGTTGGTGATGAGGGCGGCGACGACGAGAAAGGGGAAAAGGTATTTGATTGCAGGGTGACTCTGTTTTATTTATTTATTTATAAATTAAATTAACGGTCCAGTCAGCAGTTCTGTTTGTCACGTCATCAAAAAATTAACAGAGTTAACGGAGTTTGACGGAGACTAACGGCCGGTGACTAATGGTGAAACGATTCGTAAAGTTAGTGGCGAATAAGAAAGAAAAGTGATTCGGGTGGCAAACAGGAAATATTTATATAATTTGAGTGATCAAACGTGTAATTTAGCCTCATTTTATTCATCCTTTAATAAATTTTTAAATTAAAAATAGAAAATGTTGGTATGCTAACCAATGTGGGAAGCAACCTGAACATTGTCATGTTATTGTTGGGCTGCTAGCATAATTGAACCTTGACAAGCTTTACTTTGTTGATTCAGGTACTTATGACAAATCAAGAAAGCATTGGGCGTAAGGTGAGCATTGGGGTTCTGCCTAGTGCCTCACATGCTTAGGCATTGCCTAGTTGTGCCTACGCATTAGATGTAAACCTAGCAAAATATCTCACACTTGCCTAAAATCACAAGTTTATGAACCTATATAATTGCATCTACCTCTCATTTCTAAACCTTTATCAACAACACATGGTAAAGTATAAAACATAATATGAAGAAATGAGAAAGGAAGAAGAAGCTGGAACATAGCAAAGTAGATTGAGAATGAAGAAGCGCATAAAAGAAAGAAATAGCTACGCTAAAGATGGTCGTCTCTAACTCTAGCCTAGTGACCAGGAACAATCAGGAGGAGAAGTAGGAAAATAAAGGACAATCTTGATTGCTCTATAACCTAGTGGCATATCAAACTGTAGGAAAAAATCGTGCAATTATTATGAGGCGCAAGTCAATACTGATTAGGTGCCGCCGAGGCCACAACTTGATAGTGTCACCTTGTCCGCTTCTGTTGACCAAAGTGAGGTATTTTCCTTCTAACTTGCGCCCAAACGAGATTAGGCGAGTGTCTAGATACGCTTTGAGTGTCTAGATACGCTTTTTAGAACCTTGATCGAAACACATTCTAATAGAATTTTATGAAACAAAGCTCCCCAATTGTTAAAAAAAAACAAAGAAACCAGCGTCCGCATGATGACCAGACGAGATTGGGCTTCTTCTCCTGCCTTCCAGGCTGGCCTTCTATTGTCCCAGGCCTACTATACATAAGCCTTTGGATCGGGAGTTCACTGACATGGCCTACAGAGTACAGACACCATGCTAGATTGGGCCAAAGTACAGACACCATGCTTTTTCAACTATATTAACAACTCGTTTGTCACTGATAACTTGTCATCAAGGAGGAATGCTTTTTTTTTTTTTTTGGTAAGAATCAAGGAGGAATGCTAGTACAACCAAAGTCAATTTTACATCATCTGATGCGACTTTCCCCCAATGAAAAATACTAGCACAATTAGATGTGCTGCTAGATACAATTAGGAAGGTGTCTTTGGATTATCTTTGTTCCCGACCATTGGCAGGGTTATTTCTACAATTATTAATAAATAAATAAAAAATAATTAAATTATTTTTGGATTACTTGATAATTTGGATTGATGAAATTTATTTTTAATTATAAAATTTATGTTTAAATGACTCTAAATTTATCTAAATATTGATTCAATACCGAATTAATCGATATAGTGAAAAGATAAAAAAATTAGAAATAACTTATTAGTCATGTTTGATGACATCATGGTCTCAATCTTGTTATGATAATTAATATAATCGATGAAGTTTATCTTATTAGTTTTGCAATCAATATCATCAAATATAGTTGTCTTATTTATTAGAAAATTTAAAGTATAATAAACATAATCCTTATAGGTTGTGTGTTTAAATTTTCTTCATTTGTTAAGCATCCATGTCAACAAAGTTAGCAAACCTAATCTCGAGTGTTCTTTTCCAAGAACGTCATGGCGGCCAAGAGTGCGACGATCTATGTTGCGTTGGAGATCCCTGAAAGAAAAAATATCGGCCGCTACTTAGGCGTTCCAATTATTCATGACAGAGTATCCAAAGCTACATATATTGATTTGATCGAGAAAATCGATACACGTCTTGCAGGTTGGAAGGTGGAGACCATGTCTTTGGCGGCGTCAATCACATTGGTTCAGTCAGTCCTCTCCTCACTAGTTTAATTAGTCGATTTATTAGTGAAGAAGGAAAAATATTATCGAGACGGGTAACTAGGTTGACTTTAAAACAACAATGATTAAATACTATTGTTGTAAAACAAGCTCCTTAGGCCCCTGCCAGGTGTGAACGATTCTGTAGTTTCCCCATTCCATAGAGGAATTGCTTCTAGTTATATGAGCAAGCACACACACAGGATTACCCTTCAAGTGATATTGATTTTTTTTTTTGGATAAGGGTGATATATGTTTCATTTTGTTGTCATTAAGGTACTACTTAAGGGATTCGAACCTAGGACCTCCAGGTTCTAGGCTAGTGGTATTACCACTAGGCCAAGCCCTTGTTCGTCCATGTCAGCCTTGATTTTCCACTTCACTTTTAGCATTTTAATTTTGTAAACTCACTATTGATTAAAAATAAATGAACGTATAAATAAGCGTTACTTTGATTCGAAATGATGAAGACAACATTACTATGATTAAAAATGGTGAAAGCTAATTTGAGAAAAGTTTATAATATATTGTATTGTTTTTGGACGACTTGATGATTTGGGTTGATGTAATTTACTTGTATTCATAAATTTTTTATGTTTATATCATAAGATATTATGAGATGGCGAAGACAATCCCCGCGTCCATCAGCTTGATAATCTCGGTCCAGACCACTGCCTCTAGATTGGGAGACAACCTCGCTTGTGGTTGGCCGACTGGCTTGCCCTCATTCTCCACAAGGATTCCGTGGGAACAGAAAGAAGGATTGATCCCCCTGATGTCCTTGATCTTCCAGGCTATAGCATGGGCATGCTGCTTCTGTAGGGCCACCATTCTACTTTTCTGCTCAGGGGTCCGTTTCAAGCTGATGATGACTCGGAGCTTGTTCCCCTCCCAAATAAATGCATAATCTAGATGAGCGGGGAGGGGATTAAGCTCTAGCTCTGGTGGCTCCTCCAAAGATGTGGTGATCCGGGATGAGGCAAAGATTGGCTTGAACGGCCTCTCGCACCCCTTGATCGAAGCTCCATCTAACACAACGAAGCCCCACAATTCACTTGCTTCAGTCATGTCTTCAGAAGTTTTTTCTTCCTGCTGACTGCAGCTCTTGTGATGCCTGTTCCCCTAGCAAAAGACAACGCTCAAGGGAATCATCAGTACCCACACTCGTGATGGCGAGTGTAGTTTCAAAATTAGCAAACACATCATAGTAATCTAAATCATAATGTAGCTGGGGGGGTGTTTCAGATTATTAGCAACAGAAAATGTGATTTGTTCACCCTCAGCCTCCAAACCCAGCTTGCCATCATTAACATCAATAAGTGCCTTGGTGGTGGCAATAAAGGTCGATCCAAATTCAATAGGATATGCAAATGGCCCTACTGTGACAATCAAGTCCTCTGCAATGCCCTTAGGATGCACAATGGAATGACAAGCTAACTGTATGCTCATCCTAGTATTACTGGGCTCACCTAGGCCTAGCTTTTTAAACAGTTTATATGGCATCACATTTATGCTAGCGCCTAAGTCCGCCAAAGAATTTCCTATATGCAAGGGATAGTAATACGCACTGGCTCTTTGAACTTCTCTAGTAGCTTGTTCTGCAGGATGGCAGAACATTCCTCGTTAAGCATTACTGTCAACAGCTCCCTAAGATTCCTCTTGTTGGAGAGGAGGTCCTTCATGAATTTTGCATACTTGGGCATCTTCGACAACCCCTTTATGAAAGGCATGCTTATGTTCACCTGCTTCAACATTACCATGAACTTGGCAAACTCATTCTCCAGACGATCTTTATGCAATCGAATAGGGAAGTGGAGTTGAGAGACATATCCCTTTACCACTAGTTGTGGCTTAGGAGCAAATACCTCTTTCTCTTTCTCCATTTCTTCTTCATTTACAGGAAGTGCTGAAGCATGCCTCTTTTTTTTTTTTTTGTGGCCTGGACATGAGTCTAAGTAGTCATCTTCCTGCTCCTGGTGGTAATGGCCTTGCAGTGGGCTTGCAGATCTATAGGATTTGGCATGGTGTTGGAACTTAAGGCACCCGGGACTCTGTGTGCAACAGATTGAGCCACACTCCCGATTTGGGTTTGGATGTCCTGCAAAATAGCATGTTGGTTCCTCTGCCCAACTTCAAGTTTCATGAACTTTCCTGTTGCTAGTTCCATGAACTGGTCCATCTTGCTGAACTTATGGGCGTTGGAGTTGGCAAGGGCGCTCACTATATCTCTCAACTCAGCTCTCAGATGAGCCTTTGTTGGAATCAATGGGGCTACACCTGGATGTTGGAACTACCGCCGCTGGTGCTGGAGGTTGCTCTGCGTTGGGAAGGGCTGCCCCTATCTGGGCGAGTACTGTTGCCTCTAGTTCTAATCACCACCCGCGGGAGCTGGTTGCTTAGTGTTGCTATTGCCACCCCAAGAGAAGTTCGAATGCTGGTGTCACCCCTTATTATACGTGTTTCTGTAGGGGTATATGCGCCTGGCATTGCTGATGAAGTCTAGCTGCTCCTGGGGTGTGTTGGACTCCCTCATCGCCTAGAAATCCTCCACCATATGATTCGTGCTCTCGCACCACTTACAGTACATTACCGAGGTTGACATGTGCCTATCACCAGTCCGTTATGGCCGATTGGCGTAACCAACTTAGAAACTATGTCCACCAGGGAAGATGGTTGAGTTTCCACAACATGCATACCATGGTTTTGAACTCGTCGAGTCCTCTTTGTAGCTCCCCAGTCATAGCCCTGTTCTGCCATGTCCTCGAAGAGTTGATTCAATTGGTCTTAGTCAGCATATTCTCATTGCAGACCGGAACAATTGAGATGTCGGTCATCGAGAAAAAGAGCCCGATAAAAGGTGCCCACCTTAAAGGCATCGGTGAATCCATGATTGGGGAAATTCAGAAAGAGACATGAGTATCTTTCCCAGGCATCTCTAAGGGGGGATGCATGGGCACACCAAAACGCACATAATCAATTAAATTAGATGAGGGGGAATGCATGAGCACCGCACGATCGTGCAAAATCTAAGCTTTGCTCCTACAAAACTTCTGGAAGATCTGCACATCTTGGGAAAGGGCTGACCTGTGCACGAGCACCGCACGTCATGTCGCACGACCCTTGCAGAATAAGTTCCAGGCCTTGCATTATTCCTCTGCTTCTTGTCGAATGTCACAACTTCATCAAATCGTCTCAAACTCATTCCTAAACCTTTATTCACGTACTGGGCCATGAAATATCACAACTAAGCACTATCTATTGTAAAATAATCCATAGAACGATCAAATGCCAAGCCAAACAATCAAGAAATGTCGGGTGAAACATGTGCAAATACGGTGTTATTAAAAATCCAAGTTTGAGGCGTCCTATCCTTGGAAAAAGTAGATTTTGGAAGAGATACTAGTTGAATCTTGTTGGGGTAGTCCCTCTCTCTTAGTGTCTTTACACTTCCGTCGTCCTACGAGATGATGCTAGTTCCTCTCTTGTACAAGTAAAATCTCCACCCGTAGGATTTCCAGCTTGAGGATGTGTTTTCCAGGCTACGATAAAGCTTCCGACACCCCTTGATTTCATTGACCACATGATCGAGGAAAAGGAGCTAAAAATATATTTTTCTCAATCAGGCTTGCCAAGTACCAAAGTACAAGGCCAAATAAACCCCTTCTACGCATAAAGTAGCAAGAAAAGTGCAATATGGTGTAGCAAGATCGTCTTAATACGAAAACTCTTCAAAAACGTACGTGGGAAGGAATGCAAATACTTCCTAATCAAGCAAAATAAGCTTTGCCCCAAATTTTCGTAAAAGAAGACCCGAGGAAGAAAAAAGTGAACATCTCATGAGAGACGAATCATTTTGTCCTTATGAAGTACATTTTGAGCATCATTACAAGGTTCAAAGTTTCTAAGTGTAAGGGTTGACCTTGTAAGTTTCTTTTGATTCACTATCTAAGATCGGAAGTCACGTGACATCGTAGAGGTCTAGTGAGAGAAGGATGTTGAGATTAGGTTTACTTGAGGACAAAAAAAAAAAATTCAAGTGTGGGGTTATTTGATGACACATAGAAATTTCTATTCTAGACCCACGTACTATGACCCAAAGTGCATAAATTTCCTATCATTATCGTCATAATATCTTGAATTTGTTCTATGATTGCTTCAAGTGTGTTTTAGCAACCCTAGGATTGCTTTTATAAGATCGATACGTTTTTGGTAGCGTTCTGTGCACTTTCATGACAAAGCAGACTAGAAGACCACTTGGCAGCTCATGTAAGGAAAATGGAAGAAAAGATGAGAGATCAAGAAAAGTTTGTTACTCTATCGGCAGAGCAACCCTCCTGATTTAGAGTGACATCACCTATGAGTGAGAATCGGCGCCAGAAACGACAGCCTTGGCCTAGTTTTCTCTATTTTCGGTGCCGATTCCTGTGGGAATCTGGGGTCTTTGTTTCAATCGATGAACACGTAGGAACCCCTCCCCATGACCATGGTTTAGGGGTGGGCAAATGGTTTGGTAAACCCGAACCAAACCAAAACCGAATTAAACCGAACCGAAATAATGCTATTCGGTTCGGACTTCGGAAGGAAAATATGGATATTTCGGAAACCAGGGTTCTTTCAACCGAACCGAAATTCCGAAATTCCAACTGAAAAACCGAAAACTATAATTGCAACCTCTAAATGGTGGATTTTTATGTTTGTAGTTGTTTTTATACGTAAATATTTGAAATGTTTTATGACTTATGTGTTAAAAAGTTTGATTTTATCATTGATGATGCATATAATTACATATTTATTGTTTATATTAGGGGTGAAAAATAATTTAAAAGTGAGAAAATACAAGTAGCCTCACAAATTCGGTTTGTGTTAAAAACCAAACCGAACCGAATTATAATTCAGTTTAAACTGACCGAACTGAATTATAATTCGGTTCGAATTCATTTTGAGGTTTGGGAGAATTCGGGGACCCGGTATTCATAATTTCGGTTTGCTCGAAATCGAACCGACCGAATGCCCACCCCTACCATGGTTGGCTATTTCCTTAGTTGCTTAGATATGTGAACCCTAGGGGTTCTAGCCATGTAAAGATTGATGTTTGGTTTAATATATCGTGTTTATTCATATGTGTTAATGTTTGATTTCCTCTATTGCGTTTTTTGTAGATTCAAATGAGAGCTTAGTCGACTTTGCACTCCTTCTAGGTGGAAGGTTCAAAATCCAAGTCGCTTAAGACCATGACTAGAAATGGCAGTCCTATTCGAACGAAGGTCATTCAATCACACGACGTGATGCCTCAGTGAGAAATTCAAAGAGTCCTTATCGCCCATTAGTTTGGGTAAATGCTTTGGCACAAGGTGGGATCTAATAAAATAAGAAATCAGCAGCTCGTATACCACCGACCATCGAGGGAAGCATGGTTAGGAGACCTAGGGGGCCTGCCTATGCAACTCCTTCCTTCTATAATCTCTCACTAGTCTAGTATCTTAGATTTAATTTTCTGCACCGCATACTCTTGAACTCTTACGTTCTGCAAAACCGGAAGTACCTCAACCTCATAAATTTCTCTCTTCTTCAATAGAATCGTATCTTGCTTTCGAAGTAAAGGTTTTGCGAGTGAAACTAGGGAAATAAGATCCTAACCTTAGGTCTAGGTAAATTGGCTTTGTTCTACAACGAATCAAGAACCCAGAGGGTGAGATGAAAATTTGATTTGGATCTCTATGTGAGGATTCAAAAAGCATAATAATTCATCACTATGATCAAGACCCAAGGTATCTAGGCGAGTTGAAGGAGGCTCTGCCAATTCCTAATATGATTAATCTAGCTCAAGTGGCACTCAAGATAGCCAGTACAAGGCCAAAGGCGATGTTAGGAGCTGGAATACGAGACATCAGAGGAGTATTAAGATTTCATCCATCACTATCTACCTCATGGGTTCGTCAACGAACCTATAATTGCAATTGGATGCATGGGGAGATGATGAAGAAGTGGAGCTTTATCAAGAAAACAACAAATAAAGGGAGCCTAGCTCAATGACATAAAAGAGAGAGTGCTCCTTGAGAGGAAGCAGATGTCTGTCGTCAAACTTAATAACGTTAAACAAAAGTGCTACCAAGGATACAACCCGAATTTTTTTTCCTAGTTAATTTTGAAATTTGATCGATGTTTACCGAATTTAATCGAGACCAGTTTTATGTCAAGCTGGTAGGATATAAATGACTCTGTCAGAAAACCGATTTTTGGCTGAACCAAATTCGACCGTCCGGGCCAACCCGGTTTAATAACCCATCATTATATCTCCACAATTTTGTTTTACCTTCTAGCTAGCTGCTACTACTACTCCAAACAAAGGAGCCTAATCCCCATTCTTATTTGCGTGGAAGGGTGCTTAACCGAGTCCCACGTGGAAAGTGTTTGGCCTAACCATCCATATGCCTTTTACTCAAGCATGCATTTGGGAATCCGTCTCTCTCCCTGACAGCTTCGAGGATGCCCGCCTCTGCCTTGAACATCACGTTAATCCCCTCAAACCACGCTTACAACGTAAACCAAACCTGTTCCCTTGGCTACATTAAAACAAGACGGAAAAAACATATATTATCTCATGCCATAGGTCTCCCGCATCTTTCCCCATTAACAAGGCCGGCCGGCTAGCTAGCTGGTCGCTCTCATCTCATCAATATACGGCAAAAAAAAAAAAAAAAAAAAGAGTCTCCGTACAAATATTTTCCCTCTGAAAAAAGATACAACTTCAACTAAATAAGGCGGGGGGAGGGAATCATGGGGAGGAAGGAAAGGTCGCCGGCCAGCACGACTCATGAAGTAGAAGTTATAAGCAGCCCAAACAGTGTCGGCAGCTCACTCTATTACTCACCGTACAACGATCTTTTGACCGCCGACGAAGATCATCGCGGTGGTGGTTCTGTTCACATGGCCGGCGCCAGGTTGGGTAGTCTGAAGGACGTTATGAAATCGCCTCCGTGGATGAGAGGTTATAGAGACCTCAAACTAGAAGGAGACGAAGACTGCGGCGGCGCCGGTTCCCTTGCCGGGAAATCACGAGGGTCCGATGAGAGCTTATTCTTCCGCGATGTTCAGCACGATCATCCCCAGTTTCTGCTCCAACTCAAGCGCCGTATTGACAGGTATATATATGTATATTTTAGTATGCATTCTTCATCATTGAAATTTGACATTTGTACAAAATGGTAGCAAAATGATTTGTTTCGTTTATTTCCATCCAATTTTTTTGTATAATGTGTCACGTGGACCCTTTCAAGTCATGCAACAAATTCACAAAAAGAATACAAAAAGAGTCACCGTACCCTACTATCCAATTGCTTATGAGATGTGGATTTATAAAGAAAAAATTGTAAGTCCAAAATTAATGGAATTTCGAACGAGTATGTAGTGTGAAATCGATCGACCGTTTTGTTACAAGTTTCAGAATTGTGTATATTATTATCACGAAGAAATAAAACTGTGCGACTATTTTGAAAATATCAAAATTATATCACCATTTTTTGAATACTATAATTGGTTTACAAATTAAAATTTTAATGAATCTCATAATTTATGGGTTTATATATACGTGAAGGGTTGGAATTGAGCTTTCAACTGTGGAGGTGCGGTTTGAAGGGCTAAGAGTGGAGGCAGAAGCACGGAAAGCAAGCAGAGCTTTGCCTTCACTCTACAACTTCACGGCTAATATGGTTGAGGTACTCTACATATATCTTTATATAATCTCAAATTAACTAAATGGTCATATATGATTCACAAATTTGGCTTACTTATTTCAGTTTTATATGTTTCAATTTGAAGGATTTGTTAAGCTATATTCACATCCTGGAAAGTAGAAAGAAACAGGTGTGCATCCTCAAGGACTTGACTGGAATCCTAAAGCCCTCCAGGTGAGATAACAATAAGCTTACAGGACAACAACAACAACAAAAAAAAACTAAAATAAAATAAAAATAAAAATGGTCTCTTCTTATCAAGTTAGCCTATAATATTGAATTGCATATCCTACATTTTATAGCTTATTTCAATTATTAATAAGTGAATTTTATGACTACGAAAGTACGAAATGTGAGATCGATGTACAATCTAAAGACATTCCACATACGAATGTTAACCGAATTGTAACGTATAACAGAATGACATTGCTGCTAGGGCCGCCTAGCTCAGGGAAGACAACGTTTTTAACTGCCTTGGCAGGGCAATTGGATCCAAGTTTAAAGGTTGGTGACAAACATATATTAGGCTCTGTCATTATTATTATTATTATGGGTTCATTTTTTTTCTTTTTTGTTAAGAAAAGTTGGGAGTTGGGCGTAGGTATCTGGTGAGGTGACCTTCAATGGGCATAGAATGGACGAATTCGTAGCTCAAAGAACAGCAGCTTATGTTGGGCAGCACGATCAGCACATCGGAGAAATGACTGTCAGGGAAACTCTTGCTTTCTCGGCTAGATGCCAGGGCTCGCAATTTCTCTCAGGTGAGAATAATTGAACATTTATCCAAATATTAAATATGCAAGTCATTCAACAAAGCTAAGTTATTCAGCTCACTCGAACATTAATTGAAGCTAAAAGCCCACTTTTGAAACTTGTTTTCTATGATTTTTCTTTCATGTGTTGCAGAGGTGGCAAAAGAGGTGTTGAAGAGGGAGTCAGAACGGAACATTAAGGTTGATGTTGATCACAACGTTGATATCTTCCTGAAGGTGAGAGGCGCAACATATGGTCAAAAAATTTCAATCATATCGCGAACAAAAGTTTGGTTTAGTGATTCAAACTATATTATTCGGACATTTTTTAAATATAAATCGATGTATATCTAGTTCCTCCAGCTACTAAGAACGTTGCATCTTTTATATGATTCCTAATTCAATTTATATTTTTTCTTCTTTGCACAAGTGGATGTATAAAATGTGGAACTCAAATATTTATGCTTTAAAATAAATAATAATTTTGTGTGTGTGTGTCAGGCAATGGCAAGTGAAGGTGGACAGAAGTTAGACATCCTTACAGAATACGTTACAAAGGTACATGATCCTGCGACAACCTTTTGCTTGGTGCTCTTTGGATATGACATGTACAAGCTCCGATTTAATAATTGATGGACGATAGTAGATTCTTGGACTAGATCAATGTGCGGATACCATCGTCGGGAATGAAATGCGAAGGGGCATCTCCGGCGGCCAAAAGAAACGACTCACCATCGGTACGACATTAACTTTTTCAACCATATATTAGTTCGGCTTTGAAAGACCCCAAAAATGTCTTAAAGTAAACACCATCTCCCCACAAAAAATAACTAAAACGTGAAGGAGTCAAAGATCCAAGATAAAAAGTTTGAGTAATCGAGCTATACTTTGTGACCTAGAGGCGAAGTCAAAACCCTTTCAGTATACGGACTGATAGCTGATAAACATAGCACACAATGAGTCATTAGGTGAGCTACCATATTGCGAACACGACCAAAAAAATGAACATAGAAAGTAGCTGGCGAATCCAATAAATCACGAAGTTGTAAACACCACAAGCGGAGAATTTAATTATCAATAATCTATCTCCCTAAAGAAGCCACTTAGTCTTAGAGCATATTCTTGTACTCCACTACTCTCTCTCTAAGTGCAAAATTTTTCATAAAAATGGATCAATGATGTCCTTATATTGCCTTCAAAGCAACATTGATTTTTGTGTTAAGCCATTGGGACCCTATTGTAGGAGAGATGCTAGTTGGGCCAGCAAGGGTGTTGTTGATGGATGAAATATCAAATGGGCTAGACACATCCACCACTTTCCAGATCGTCAACTCCATAAAACACACCACCCACATTCTCAATGGAACTTCGGTTGTCTCCCTCCTCCAGCCGGCACCAGAGACGTACGAACTCTTCGACGACATCATTCTCTTCTCCGATGGCCACATTGTCTACCAGGGTCCCCGTGAAGACATTCTCCAATTCTTTCGCCACATGGGTTTCACTTGCCCTGAGAGAAAAGCAATTGCTGATTTCTTGCAAGAAGTAAGCTCCCTAGTTTAATTTACTGTTTTTTTTAGTTTATAGTTTTTGTGAAATGTACCAAATTGGATTTTTTTTTTAAATTTTAGGTTATTTCTAGAAATGACCAGCAACAGTATTGGTCTCACGAGGACCAACCTTACTGTTTCATCACGGTTAAGGAATTCTCCGATGCATTTCTATCATTTCATGTTGGGAAGAGGATGAAAGAGGAGATGTCCATTCCATTTGAAAAGGATATGAGCAATCCATTTGCATTGGCCACCAATAAATATGGGACTACTAAGATGGAGCTTCTTAAGGCTTGTATGGCAAGGGAGTTCTTGCTTATGAAGAGAAATTCAATTGTCCACATCTTCAAGCTCCTACAAGTGAGTATCAACTATTAGAGATATAAATTATCAAAAAAATAATCAACATATATGTGTAATTGTTCACTTGGCATGAAGTGAAATTCTCATCTGATATTGCAATTAATTTGAACCAGCTTGCACTCATGGGAATTGTGCTAATGACACTCTTTTTTCGATCTGGGATGACCCGCGACTCGGTCCTTGATGGAATGGTTTACATGGGAGCCTTGTTCTTCATTGTAATCATGATCATCTTCAATGGTATGGCAGAGCAATCCTTGAACATAGCTAAACTACCTATCTTCTACAAGCAAAGAAACTATTTGTTCTATCCTCCTTGGGCGTTTTCTCTGCCTCCATGCATCCTGCAAATCCCCACTGCAATCTTAGAAGCTGCGGTTTGGGTCTTCATCACCTATTTCATGATTGGATTTGATCCTGAGCTTTCAAGGTACCTAAAGAGCTAATAATTAATCCTCATTACTAAACATAAAAATTTCGTCTAGCATTCGTAGAATTGATTTGGTTATTGTTCTCACAGGTTCTTCAAGCAATTTTTTCTACTCATACTCGTGAGCAAGATGTCCAATGCACTATTCCGAATGATGTCAGGATTGGGGAGGACAGCAGTCCTAACAAATTTACTTGCGGGATTTACTCTTCTCACACTTCTAGCTTTGAGTGGCTTTGTCATGTCCAGAGGTTCTCTTATTCGTTATAGTTTATTTCGCAATTACTAGAACTAGTAAATATAATTTCTTATTTCAATATTCAAAAATTAATCTGTGTTGAAATTTGTTGTCTATTGATTTTGCAGAGAATATTAACAAATTTTGGATATGGGGTTACTGGGCATCTCCGTTCATGTATGCACAAAATGCAGTAGTGGTGAATGAGTTCCTTGGAAAGAGCTGGAGCCATGTAATCATAATAAAAAACATAATAATTTATTCTCATTTTGGCATTAAAATCTATAATTTCAAACCCAACTGAAAACTCTTTTCATGTCTTCTATGTCATCAAACCAAACAGGTTCCTCCTGGGTCGATAGTTCCATTGGGAGTTCAAGTTTTAAAGTCCCGCGGTTTCTTCACAAATGAGTATTGGTACTGGATAGGAATCGGGGGATTGCTTGGATACATAGTGTTGTTCAACCTTGGATATACTCTGTCTCTCATGTTTCTAAACCGTAAGCCCATTTGTCTCAATGTTGTGCCATCTTATTCCAACTCCCTCAATTTCTTGATTTTTGCACAATTAATGTGTGACATGCATGTGCAGCCTTGGATAAGCCTCAAGCTATTTCTCCTGATGAGGAGATTCACATTGATAAACCATGTCGCACAAATATCATAATGATGACTTATGGTTAGTATATTGGAGAACTTGTGCATATAAACTAGTTTAGCTAGAAGTAATAATTATTTGATGATACAACTGTGAATTGACTAGATGAAGAGACTATAGGGAGTAATCCAAACATATTTGAAGCCTCATCTACAAGAATGAACTCCACTTCACAAGACAAACCGAAAGACAAAGTGAAAAAGATGAAAAGGAAGAGCAAAAAGGGAATGGTTCTTCCATTTCAGCCCCATTTCATCACCTTTGATGACATTACATATTCAGTTGACATGCCAAAGGTATCATAATACTCGCAGACATTTAACTGGTAAATTTTAGTTCTAGTATTATGGTGTATTGATATATTAGTGTTTCAAATTATGTAGGAAATGAAAGTTCATGGTGCCCCAGAGAAGAAATTGATTCTTCTAAATAGTTTGAGTGGCAGTTTTAGACCTGGTGTGCTGACAGCTCTAATGGGTGTAACGGGGGCAGGGAAAACTACCCTTTTGGATGTGTTGGCTGGTAGAAAAACTGCTGGCTACATTCATGGGACAATCACCATTTCGGGATACCCAAAAAAGCAACATACTTTTGCAAGAATTGCAGGATATTGTGAGCAAAACGATATTCATTCTCCTTTAGTTACAGTCTATGAGTCTCTGGTTTATTCAGCTTGGCTACGACTGCCCAATGAGGTCGACATGGAGACTAGAACGGTATTGAGATATACAAGACTCTTACTTGTGGTTCATATGATAGATCTCATGTGGAAATATTATACTTATTGACTTCCTTTTGACACTATAGATGTTTGTCGAAGAAGTGATGGGGCTTGTAGAGCTAAATAACCTAAGAAACTCAATTGTTGGGTTACCTGGTGTTAATGGCTTGTCAATTGAGCAGCGCAAACGGCTCACAATTGCAGTTGAACTGGTAGCAAATCCATCAATTATATTCATGGATGAGCCAACCTCAGGATTAGATGCTAGAGCTGCAGCAATTGTCATGAGAACAGTAAGGAATACAGTTGACACTGGAAGGACTGTGGTGTGTACCATCCACCAACCAAGTGTTGACATATTTGAGTCATTTGATGAGGTATATATAGTTTTCTAATGTTTATTGAGTCAGTTTGAGGGAAATTTAGCCAAGCTTTGTGTCATTTTAATTCACCCTTGATAATGATGCATTTGTGAATTGCAGTTGTTCCTATTGAAAAGAGGAGGACGAGAGATATATGTTGGACCATTAGGCTATAATTCATGTCATCTAATCCAATATTTTGAGGTAACAATCTTTGTGAAAGTAAAAAATATAGATATCTCTCTCAGTTTCTATTTCCCTCTACCTAGAGAATTTTTCAAATTCGGAAAAAATATTTTAGATAGTTTGTATTCTTGCATCCTTCCATATTATGACGAAGAAAACTCTTGACTTGAACAAACTGAGAATAAAAGAATGTATACTAGCATAATTAGTTCCTCTCCTTATTTTTTGTATCACCTCGTTTTACAATGAACTCATATACCTTTTTGTTTTCTTAGAGAATTCGAGGAGTCCGAAAAATAAAACCAGGGTACAACCCAGCAACTTGGATGTTGGAAATCACAACAGCTGCAAAGGAGACAGAGTTGGAAATTGATTTTGCTTCTATCTACAGGAACTCTAATTTGTACAAGTAAAGAAAATGACAACCATCCAAAAATATTCAATATAATGTTCTTGAACCAATATGTTGAAACTTGCATTCTACTTTTTGTTTCGATTTCTCAGGGAAAACAAAGGAACCATTGGGCAACTAAGCAAACCAGCTCCTGGCTCAATAGACCTCAACTTTCCGACAAAGTTCTCCACCTCGCTTTTCACTCAAGCTATAGCATGTTTATGGAAGCAACACAAATCGTACTGGAGGAACCTGACTTACACCGGTGCAAGACTTTTCTTCACAGCTACTATAGCCTTGATGTTTGGGACTATGTTCTTGAACCTCGGGAAGAACACGTATGTACTGATAAAGACTAGTAGAAGGTTATGCCTTTCGAAGATATTTCTAACTCTGTGATGTCCTTCTCACAGGACAAAAGAACAAGATCTTTTCAACGCATTTGGTTCAATGTTTGGCTCGGTGTTCTTCATTGGTGTCCAGAATGCATTGTCAGTGCAACCCATCATAGATGTTGAAAGAAGTGTTTACTACAGAGAAAAGGCTGTAGGGATGTATGCGTCATTCCCATTTGCAGCATCACAGGTACTAAACTACCCATGTAATATGGAACAAATTAAAATTATCATATAATTAAACTGCTCTGTAATTTCACTAACTAGTAATGCCCTCTTTGACAGGTTTTGATTGAGATCCCATATGTGTTTGTGCAAGCAGTTATGTATAGTGCCATAGTGTATCCATTGATTGGATACGATCTTAACCCGCATAAATACCTATGGTTTTTCTGCGTAATGTTTTTCACTTTGTTATACTTCACCTTCTACGGGATCATGAATTTGGCCCTCACCCCAAATCAGCATATTGCCTACGTGGCATCCGGTGCATTTTTTGGGGTATGGAATTTGTTCTCTGGATTCGTCATCCCAAAGACTGTAAGCATCTTGATTCAAATACTATAATAATTTTCTTCATCATTTTCATATATGGAGCATTAGTTAACATGTGATTGATGTGAACAGAGGATTCCAACGTGGTGGAGATGGTATTATTGGGCAAACCCAGTAGCATGGACCTTGAATGGGCTGTTGACATCCCAGTATGGAGATGAAGAGACTAGGCTTGAGATGAGTGGTCTCACCATAAAAGAGTTTCTGAAATTATACTATGATTTTGAAAGCGATCGTTTACGAGTGGTGGCCACTGTGATTATTGGGTTTGGCGTGTTGTTTGCTTTTGTATTCGCTATTTCCATTAAACTCTTAAATTTCCAGAAAAGATAGTTCTCGCCATACATCCTTTTTGGTTTCATCTATTGTGTATTTCTTTGTATAGTAGCTTAACTAATTAAACATCATATAGTTTCTTGTTCATATAACAATATATTTTCGTAGCTTAACTAGCTTGGAGTGTACTAAAGGATTGTTTTTCCTATTTTATATATGTATTTAATGACGATTTATCTATAACTTTAAAAGATCATAGGATGCATGATGTGTGAGGTATTTGGATATGCGAATTTGTATACAAACAATTTACATATAAAGTACCGTCTACTTAGATAATATGTAAAGTTACATTAGAAATATGTTTAAGTACATTGGTGCATTTCAAATGCATATTAGTGTGTTTTACTAGTGAACTAAAATTCTTATCAAGAAACACATATTTGAAATTCACGATACCTTCTAATAAGGACTTACTTATGCAATTTTAGAAGCTGAGTTACTCTAATTTTTATATATGTACTAATTTGTAACTTTGCCATATAAATTTTTGGGACTACTTTGTTTGATAATATTTAAAATTTAATGTTACAAAGAGGCATGAAATTGGATAGAAAATCCCGAATTCTTAGATTGAAACTTTACACAATGCAAACTGAATAGGTTTGCAACCCACTCTTTAAGTTGGATTTCGATTAGTACCATATCCAATAGGGCAAAGGACGTGTTGGTACTCATGAACATAAGAACAAAACTACCACATGGTCCATATATATCAAATATAGTTTTTTTGTAGATTGATTGTCTTCATGCCTTTTATGTCAATATATTAAATATAGTTTTTTGCGAGAAACCCTGCAGTAGTTGTCGATTTAATTTGACACCGCCTTTCTTTTCCTTGATTGTAGAAATCTCAAAACTCTCCACCTCCCGCTTCATTTTCGCCAAGCCTTCAAGTTCATAGAAGGAAAAATTTTCGATTTAGGGTTTTGTTTCAATAGATTCCACCATCAATTGATTTGAGGGTTTGAGGTTCTGCTTTTAATTCTGGAATCTGGATTAGTTTGACTGATTGCTTACTCATCACCGCCACCCTATGCTTACCAACTCTCTCTTCTTTGTCCTCGTCCTGTGCTTACCCAAATGGATTGTATTAACATACTTTAGTTGTTTTTTACTAAATTATTAATAGTATGTCTATCTTAATTTCCAATCCACTTTTTCATTTCTACTCTTTCTTTCACTTTCTTCTATAAAACAACATTTTCTTCTACCATTTTCCTCCCTCAAAATTCATCTCACCCCTTCATTTTCCTTTCTCTCATCGAAACAAAGAATTAATTTCTTCCGTCATCACATTCTACAATGTAAACTACACATGTACTACATAACATGAAACTACGTACGTATTATGTTAATATAACTACGCAACCCAAAATATGTCAAACAACATGACAAACTAGCAGTCACTAAACTTGTACCCTTAGGTCGCCCTTGTCGCTTGACCTTGGGTCGATACATCCTTTATAATATAATAAAATATAACTAGCTTACACCCTATCCTTTGAGTAGCTCATATTGTTCTTATATATATCATAACTAGATTTTTACCCGGCCAGTTGGCCGGAGAAGTTCATTTTATTATTTATATTAGTTCACTTATCTACATGTTTGAACTTTTTGGATCTTGTAGACATTTTCTGCTCTCGCTTCATTAGTGCATATGTGGTATGCCTATACCAAATTCTTAATATTTAATAGTTAGCACACTCGCTTGTGATGTTTTTATTCTCTAATCATTTATCATGTCGTAAAGGTTTATCACGTCCCATTTAGGATCGTATATAAAAAAATTTCCACCAAGATGCTCAAATGTATTATCTTATACAACATATATCAATTCATCATTCTCGAGTTTGTACGAACTCTCAGCCAATTAATCAGAGTTCAAATTATTGGAAAAATATACTTGATTACTGGATAAATTATGTTTATCCCAATTGAAATTTGACACACATCGTATCCCTTATAATGATTAAATTCTCTAAATCTCACTCATTTTTATTGTTGATGTTCATGAAGTCTTTGTATAGCAACTCATGACAATTTTTCTATCAAGATACAAATTATTATTATCTTACAATATATATCAATTGCTAATGTTTTAAGTTTGGACTAACCCTCAACCCATGCCTTTTGTCTAGATGTTCGTTTAGAATCTGAATCCAAGGCATTCATATACACTATCAAAGGTTCTCATCTTAACATGTTCTTTCAATGTATAATTTTTCAACTATTTGAATGAAATCAATTTTGTATGAAATCACAGACTCACAACTATATAGCTCGGTTTACACTATTGTAACTATAAATGGTTTTTGTTATATATTTGAAGTAAAACATTAATTTTTATTTATTACCTCAATCGTCGAATTTAGATTTTTCTTAGCATGAAATGTGATGTTTAACGTATATCCTTAACAAAGATTTCTCTAAATTTCACACATTTCATTTTTCAAGGGATCTCGTGTCTCATCCTAGAATATGTAGTCAAAGTTCATCAACTATTATACTCAAGTCATTTTGGAAACTTCAATTTATAATCTTTAACAATAAATAACTCCAAGTCTGAAAATAAAATATCTTAGCATATGATGTAAGACCTCAATAGAGCTTGCTTAATCAACATGACCTAGAGAAAATATTAGTAATGTGAACTTAGGATACATTATAAATACTGCACATGCAATTCATATGTTTTCACTTGATGAGAATGAATAATAAGCTTTTTTAATAAATAACTATTATTTCTTGATCAAGTTTCTTTCAGACCTTATCGACAAAATATTATTATTTTTGTGTGTTTGTTTAAGTTATTTATTAAAATATAAATTATTTTTAAGTTTTAGTAAAAATGAGCAGAAATTTACATAGTAATCTTTAATCATATATTTTTTGGTTTAAAAAGGGTGATATATATGTCACTTTACGAACATTAGTATACTGTTGCGTACATTGATATAATGCAAAAACAAAAAATGTTATATATGTCACTCTCCATCATGATTATCACGTCGATTGGCATGCCATCGGTTGAACCATTCAACCGGTACCGGTCATGAAATCGACATGACACCATCGGTATGATCTTTTTACGCATTTCTAAGTAAAATACGTAGTTTTAGTGAATTTAAGTATGTGTACATGTAATTTTATTTGAAATATCATATTTTATTCAAATATCAATAGGAATTGTACGTAAATTGTCTTCAAATATGGTTTATATATGTTTTTTTTTTTTGCCAAAGATATTCCGGAAGGAATAGCAAGATACGAAAATATACAAGACCAAACAGTCAGGGAAAAGAAACAAGAGCAAAACGATGGTCAACCAGATGCTGAACCATCGATGCGAGGGCCTGTTTTGCCACGGAATGGGCAGCCCTGTTATACCTACGAGGAGCGAAATGAAATGAAACACGCGCAAGAGAAGTCCGTAGCACCTGAACCTCATTCCGAATTGCCCCCCCCCCCTAAAGCGTGATTCGAATCCTTCGCGGCCACCATCCGGATAACGACCTGCGCATCACCACAAAACAGAACATTAATTACGGAATGAGAAAGGCACCAACGCATGGCATCCCGAAGTGCCAATAGTTCAATAAGAAAAGGATCGTGAACTTCCGCGTAGGAACGCCCATAAGCAAAAGAGACAACATTCTGAGATGCGAAGCCAACAAAACCGATGGCACCCCCAAAGGATTGCTTAGTAGCTCCGTCAAAATGAACAAGCATGAATCCAGAAGGAATAGTAGGTGGAGATGAGTTGCGGCAAGCAGACGGTGATGGAAGATGCTGCCGGCGTCGTGCAGTCCTTGATTCTTGAGCTGAAAACCATTCCGCAGTTTGACAGTTAAACTGTCGCAGCAAAGAGACCGGGAGGAATTGGATGAGTTCATAAGTAGATGAGCATCTCCCTTTCCAGATCCTCCAGTACAAGAACACCAATCTCGTCACCTCGGCGCGAGATAAGCCTGCATCTAAAAGCAAGAACCTCCAACCTATTGCAACGTGAAGTGAGTTTAAGTGGTGGAATAAATGACCAAAACCTGCTAACTCCCACAATTCAGTCGCGATTCGACATTCCAAAAAGAAATGAGATAAGGTTTCATTAGGATGAGAACAAACAGGACATAGAAGTCCCTCACTATCCTCTTCCTCAATGAGCTCTTTATCCCGAAGGACATCTCGCACAGGTAAGAAACCTTTAATTAGCCGCCATAGGAAAAATCGTAATTTCGTAGGAACAGAGAGGGCCCAAAGAGCTTTCCAAGCCCGAGAATCAAAGATAATAGGAGTAGTAGAAAGATTACGCACAAATTCAGAAGCTGCAACATGGTAACCAGATTTTACAGAGTACTCACCTGAAGGTTCGTAATGCCATATAAGTTTATCAGCCATAGGGAGTTGAGGAAGCGGGATCATAACGATTACCTTAACTGTGGCAGCATCAAAAAGAGACTGCAGTATTTCCATTTTCCAAGTTCCATTCGAGTGATCAATGAGAGAGGAAACCTGTGTAGACGGCAGAACAGCATGGGGCAATAGCTTGGGACGAGAAGGAGGCGTGGTGGGGAGCCAACAATCATTAGTAATGTGGATTTGTGTGCCGGATCCAACGAGCCAGCGGAGACCTTGCAGCAATAGATCACGCCCAAGCAGTACGCCTTGCCAGGCCCAGGATGGCCGAGCTCCTTGAACAGCCTGCAAAAATGAGGTCTGAGGAAAATATTTAGCTTTATACAGCACAGCTAGAGCACAATCCGGAGAATGGAGGATGCGCCATGCTTGTTTGGCTAGAAGAGCAATATTATTGCTGTTGAAGTCTCGAAATTCGATTCCACCATGGATCTTGGGCCGACACAGCGATCGCCAGGATGCCCATTTCATACCTTCATCTCGATCCTGTTGAGCCCACCAGAACCTCGCCAAATGACCATTAAGTCGTCTACAGGAAGTTGATGGTATGCGGAAACTGAGCATAGCATAGTCGGCAAAACATTGGCAACGGACTTCAGGAGGGTTTCTTTAGCAGCAAGAGATAGAGCCTTGGATTTCCATTGTTGAAGTCGAGAGACTAGCTTATCTTCAATGAATTGAAAGGTAGCTTGTTTGGACCGAGCGATATGAGTAGGAAGTCCTAAATAGCGATCTTCTAACGTGCTTTCCGCTACTCCCAACAAATTGGTTTATATATGATTAAATTCATTTGATATTATTGATTTTTGATATTTTTACATATTTTATTAACCGGCATGAACCGACACAAACCGGT